GGGGGGGGGGGGGGGGGGGGGGGGGGGGGGGGGGGGGGGGGGGGGGGGGGGGGGGGGGGGGGGGGGGGGGGGGGGGGGTCGTGTACACCCATAACAGACAGAGTTGGTGATCTCGCGAGTTCATGTCCAGCTTGGTGAGCCAAGTTTCTTGTATCATGGAATATTTGCGCATCGACCACCCTAACCGGCTGAACAATGAAAGTTGTCAGTCTTAATCACGAGCACACAAAAACGCTACACACATTGCCCCAAAGTTCGCCATAGGTGATTATGCAATAATGTTGATGTCGGGTGCTGATTCTGCAATCATCCAGCCGTAACGGTCACTACACTTGTTCAAGCGTAGAGTTGCGCCACCTGACTTGTTCATCTCCGACCAGCAACCGAAAAAATGACCGCATAGCTCACAGAGCTTTGGCGAGAACACAACGGCAGCAGTATGAGCGGAACGGTGTACATGTGCTTGCACTCGAGCTAGCTGGTAGGCTGATCGGGGATGCCGTTCGAAAGGGCAGGCCTGCGGTAGCAACGACTGCTGCTGCTGTACATCAGCAATTATCGTCTTCTCACTGTTGTTGTGTCAAAATCCTCCGCACTAGCAGATGGATAATTCCACACCAACAGGCTGTCGTATGCATCACAAAATCACATGAAAGCGGCCACTTTTCATAGCTGCCGTCGTACCATAAGCTGCGATGGTTTCCGTTTCATGTCGACGGCTTGATACAGGTGTGTTACGTCATGTTGGTCAAGGCCTGAGCTTTGCTGGGCCAACGGCACAGCTGCAGGCCATACAGCAGTGTGTGTGAAGACTTACCGGGAAGCATCCTTCCATTGCGAGGCAGGAGTGCCCTGTAGCGACTAAGGGTCACCGACATGACTGCCTGCCTGTTGTGCTGTTGGTGTTGATCTGCGACTGCAACGCACGTGCTGGTGCTCCAGGGTGCTCCGGTAGGGGAATCCGCAGATTCAGCAGCACGTGACCACGTAATCATTGCGTTAGGAACCACACCCCAACCGACTTTCAGCTCGATTGCAAGTGCTGCAGCTATGAAGAGAACGCCAAAATCAAACGATACACACATTTTCGGAAAGCTCTCCACGACACGGTTCCAAAGCAGCCGGTTTTTGCTCCGTCACTCCTTGCTCGTTGCACTTCAGAGTACATCGGACTACATACGCATGGATAATGCGGCAGGGGGTGTGGTATCTTCCGTAACTTTCGGGGAGTTGTAGTTGTTGTGGGCATGGAGTCTATACATGGTACATAAAAAACATACAGTTCATTATAATTTTCCAAGACAGCAGCAGCAGGAGTTGTACCTGCTTGTTGTCTTGTTCGCCTCGTGCGCCTCGGGACATCAGATGGATAACTTTTCTGTTCGCCCACAAATATTTACGAAGTACGTTTGACCCGCGAGAGCTGTGAACAGCACGAACCAACTCAAGGAAATGACGTATTGGTGAGGGGGTCAACGACTCGCCCCTCTCGCTGCAACAACTCAATCCTTTTTGTCTATGGTGTCCCTTGCACAAGTTCGAGAATCACACCGCTGTCGCAGATGCTTGGTTGGGATGCGGTTCATCTCGTGTGAGTAGGATACGTGGTAATTGAGGGTGATAGACTTATGATTTTCCCTGGGGTAAAAACGACAACCACAGGACAAAAGAGACTGGTCGTGCTTCCCCACCTCCACCTAAAGACAACATAAAACACCACGCGCCCCCCCCTTTGAGTTCCAGTCTACTTGGAATATTGGACGGGCGTGGTGAGCCGCGCCTGGAAGCAGCCAACTAGGACGCCTGTTGTCCTATCATCGCGGCTTTTTTTCCAGCAGATCTTTCACGAGGACAAACAATTAACCACCAGCGAGACGCGGGGGGGCAGCTAACAGCACGTGAGTCCCTCAAAAACAGCTTGCACTTACGATCAGACCCATCAGCATCTACACACGTCCATTTTTTGAATCTACTCGCCGAACAGCTATTACGGAGGAACACAGCAGTATTCAGGTCTAAGCGTTCAGAAGGAAAGCGTTGTTTGTGGAAGGCGTTTGTTGAATTCGAAAGAAAGCAGGGGACGGGTGCTGAGCGTCCCCTGCGTGCAATGTCTTCAGTCTTCTTGTGCACCCGCGTCTCGGGGAAGAGAACGCTAGTGCAGTCAAACAACTAGTTGAGGAAGCAAGAGGAAGGAGCGTGGAAGTTAGGGCCTTGATCGATTTTGCCCATGGATCCATCAGTGCAAAATGCGGTCCAGGCAAAGATAGCAGCAGACGCAGCCGCGGCCGAAGCCGCACCCGCGTATGACGGCGCCGCACCCAACGCCGCTGCACCCAACGCCGCCGCCGCAGACGCTGCCGCCGCTGTAAACGCTGCCGCAGCCGCTGTCGCAGCCGCCGACGCAGCCGCAGCTGCAGCCGCTCCCCCGGCAGCCGTGCACAACGGCGGCGACGCCCCCCCGGCAAACAACGGACCAGAGGAGGGTGCCGGCGCGAACCCACTCGGCGGTATCCAGGCCATGCTCACCCAGTTCATGAACGCTCACCAAGCTCAAATGGCGGCCTTACACCAACAGGTGGCGCAGCAGGGACAGATCCTGCAGCAGCAGCAGCAGCAGCAGCAGCAGCAGCAGC